AATGTGATGTTCTATATGTGCAACTATTTGCCATGTAGTTCAATTTCATCAATAACAATTTCAACAATACCACTATGAATTTATGATATTTGGTTGCTGTTAAGGATATTGCAGTTAACATGCCTCTCCATTTTTTAACAATAACTAGTGTACTTTAGACCTGCACAATACCAGTTTGAATGACTATATTTGCTTGTTTTCAAATGTTATGCCTATTGCAGTTAACACACCTTTCCACTTCTTGTTTTGCTTAACTAGCGTGCTTAAACTTGCACACTGAAGCTACCATTTGGAGATTATGTTGTCTACCATGGATATATTTGGGTGATGTTTAGACTATTGTGCTTAGCATGCCTTTAGATGTACTCACATAGGACAATATTGGGAACAACTGTTGTTTTCCATCAAGATTAGTTTCATCGCATTGCTTATATGTAGTCACTATTTAGGATATCGATAGCTGGTACCATATAGCCCGGAGGCTGATAAGGGATTAATCGTCGAATCAAACATTTCACTTAATATATCTGTAATGCATTTATCGGTAGGTTAACTAGCGTGATATTGAATATATCCGAGGCTACATAGTAACATGCATTGTACTGAATGTTATTAAAATGGGTCAAAAAATGTCAATCGAATTATTTGTTTACACTTTATGCAAGACAACAATGAATTACAGGATGCTAAGTAAGAACTCCGCAACCTTCTTTTTACTGCCCATAATGAGTTGTGTTACATGACAATGTCTGAATCTTTATCCTTTGAAGTGGTTCCCGAAGTAGTTTACTCAACATTACCTCTCGATCTACATGTCGACCATCACAAGGGGTTGGACTAGAGTCGTGCGTGTCTTCTGCATGGAGGAGAGCACAATAGGTGCATTCCGCTTCACCTTGTTCAGCAACCAGAATGTCTCTCGTCTCTTTCTTTACCATCTTTAATAGTGCAAGTATACAACCATGGTTCATCATTCTTTATTTGGTGCTTATGTATTTCTTTTTTTGATGCAATTCTTTAACATATGTACCTATGAATCGAATAATGCATTGGTTGTTAACCTGATGGATATGAATGAAGTTATAGCCTACTTTCAAATTGAAATTCGGTACAATTTTAAATAGCAGTAATTAAATTAAAGTGAAATACGCTCTGCAGGTCATTACAGCTCACACGGTCTATAAAGCACATGTGTGTGATACACATCATAATTCGACACGGTTCACGGAGAGGAAACCTGTGTAACCATGCACAAAGTTGCCGTTTGCAAAGCGTGTGTGATGTCGGACAATATCACAAATGGTGCGAGAAAACTAAATGTGTGTGATTGACGCCTTATCGTACACGCTTTACAATCATGGACTTCTTGTGATGTGGCACGCATCGTAAATGTAGAGCTAGTTTGGTACATGCCTGGAAAAATCCCATGCCTAGACTATGCCTGCACTGCGCCTGTATAAGGTAAAACCACAGAAGTCCGACTGCGATGGAAATGCGAGCACAAACGAGTCGTAAGGATGGAGCGTTTGGGAAATGCGAGATATCACAAATGCGAGATACCCCTAGTTATCAAAAACGTATGCCTTGCTACTTCCTATCCCCGGTGGTTTCTGGGTCATGTGGGAAGGATCCCCATATCTCACACACTCACTAGGCGACAATTTAAAATGCGGTAGCGGAAAGGGGTTAAAAACTGTTTGTATATCAACTCGTTTTACCAGTGCTTGGGTGTTTCATAGGAATTTTTTGATTTTCATGCTTTGTTCCCCATCAACAACCACTTGAGAGATGAACCGACTGTTGTCGTAGGGGGTTGTTCTTCTCCCTATTCATCCTTTAAGACCTTGGTAAAGCGGGAGGGTAGGGTGAAGAATGACCATAACCGACGGTCAATCTTGCAGTCAAGAAGTGTCCAACATATGTATAACCACTTAAGAGAGAGAATTTCGACCCGAAGGACATATGTCGACTATTATCGTAACAGTTTTATCCTTTTTATTCTCATAAATAGGCTTTCATGAAAAATGTCTTTTAACTAAATGTCAAATTTTTTATAATGCGATTTAGATGAAGAAGTCGAGCTGCCTCGTTAAGACTCCTACAGCAGTAGATTCTATCACGAGGATGGTTTAGTACACGAAGGTCATGCTCGCCTATGCCGAGGGGGCTCGAGCTTACGCCAAGAGCGTTGCAACATAAGCCAAGAGCATAAGAGCAGCCACAGAGAGCATTAGAGCAACCGCCGAGAGCACACGAGTAGCAGTCGAAGTTGCGAGGACCGCCAAAGCCGAGATCATGAGGATGTTTGGAGGCGAGGAGAGCCCATGATAGAGCTGAAATTTTGATTTTGAACTACTAGTGCACTGTCCTTATGTGATCTATATGATCGATGCACGTGAACTTAATTTCTATGTTGCTATGATGGAGTTGAACTTTTACTTCTGAACTACTAGTGCACCACCTTTATGTGATCTGTATCATCAATGCTTGTGAACGTAATTTTTACGTTGCTATGAAGATTGCAATATGACTTTGCTATATGTAATTGGATAGCTATGAAATTGACTTTTTAGCTTGTTTATTTATCATCATGGATGAAGTGGTATGTGGTGTACTATAGGAAGAATTCGGGAGTCCATGATTCATGGGAGAAATGCAATGAACAAGTGGATGGTTACGAGAACAACTGCTATAAAGGATATAAGACTTGAAAGGAAGAAGAGGATCGTTACTCCAACTTCATCCGCACAGAGAAAATCAACTATGAAGTATATGCAAGACCGTGTGGACAAGTGGACAAGTAAAGAATTTAATAATATCTATCCAGTCCATTATCATTATGGTGTTGTTGTTATCATGAGGTCATATATGTATGTAACATGCAACATGTCAGAGGCTTCGCTATGAAGGCTATGTTTACTTACTTATGATGTTTTTTAGGGCAGCTTATGATGTTATGTGAGTTGGACTCTAATGCATACATCTATTGTATTTCATTTGGATTATTATTATAGTAAAATATGGTGTTGCTAATCTGTGATACATATATTGTAATGCATGTGATTGAATATTGTAATTATTGTTTAATGCATGCTTTCGGATTAGAGGCGTTGCTTGCTGGACATATATGTGGCGAGTGCCACAGAAGCCCGCCACCACTAACAATAAATCCTAGAGATATGCCCACCACTGCGTTGTCTCTACCGGTGGCGGGTATGTGCCCTCCACTGACGTCTTATTAGCAATGGCGGGAGGTCAGTCGCGGGCGCCCCTGAGAGTCTCACCCGCCACTGGTGGGCTTTCTGCGCCGCCACTGGTAGGCATTCCCGCAATAATGTGTGCTTGCTATTAGTCATATTATGTTAATTAGTATTTTGTTGAACTTAAATGTTGTCATTTGCCTCTGCTATCAAAGTTAAGTGTTATATGATTTTACCATAGCTGTTAAATAGAAATATATTGTCATTTGGCTGAAAAAACATTGATATGTACCCTTTTTTTTACACGTAAAAACCAAATTGGTCGCGTGACAACAACATGGCATTATCACTGATGATGAACAATACTGATGGTGTGGGCCCATACACGTGGCACACCATCAACATATTTATTACTGATGGCAAGCCCACACACCATCACTATATTTTATCAGTGGTGCCATGTTGATGGCATGGGATGGACACCCCACCACCAACGTTTTTTGCACTAAAGTGCAATCGCAACAACATGCCAAGTTACAAACCGGAAAAAATGTTTTTGGACAAGCACAACACGTTTGATGTTGCAAACCACTGAACCCGTCCCCAGCCATGTTGCAAACGACTGTGCGTTGTCGAGCGGTTGACGCGGTGGAGATCGGACGGCTGCCACACATGCCATCCAACGGTTGTGAAAGCGGCTGATCCAATTCAAGCATCATCCGGGGTTTATGTTATTCCCCCCTTAAACTAATATAAGAGCGTCTAGATTATTATTTTAGAGATCAAAACGATTTTATATTAGTTTAGGGAGGGAGTAAGAGTTAACTAAGCAAAATCTTTTGTTCCTGGTCCAGGCTGGCCAGTATGGTCCACAGTTTGCATGCACGTAGAAGCCAAGCTAACTAGTTAGCTGTGTTCAAAGTATAATATCTGTTTGAGCTTTACACGGCCATGCATGTTAACAAAAGGGAGGGCCGCCCTAAAAAACGCAGAGGATATGAGTATATGATGCCATGGGCAGGAGGCAAGAAGCAAGCAGCAAGTAGACACAGGCGAAGCAAACAGTGTAAAGCTATCTCGAACAAAGCATAAAGATAGCATGCACACACGCAATGCTAGCTAGCTCATGCAAAAAGATGAGCATGCATGCAGAAAGGTCCCTAGTAAAATTACACCGGCCGGCGAGCACCGACCATTGGTACGAACACGTTGCCCACTTGTCTCTACAAAATCAAGTTTGTATAATTATTTATAGCCATTTGATGTTCATCTGGCTAAGCAAATTTAATATAAGTTGTCTTTATTTTTTCAAAGAATAGTAGTTGTATCCCGGTCTCTCTATGTGTATCTAATATATAAGAATTTCTCTTATCATATAGCAACATTGTAGATTAAACAGGCAACCAAAATCTGAAGCCAGCATCTGACCATTAACGCCGAAAGGACACACGAGACAAAATGCCAAAGGATGAACACACGACTAACAGAAGTTTTAAACAAGGCAAGCCAAATAACTAATCAAAGGGAGATGAACACTAGATCTCTTTAGCACCAATCGAGCACACTGCACACACGCACATACACCCGGTAGACTGGTAGTGCAAGCATGCACGCACTAGCTCCCAGAAGCTCAAACAAGACGGAGGCAGTAGTGGTAAAAAAAAAACACCGACCTCTCACTCTCTCACACTCACGCACACGCACACCAGTGATCTATAATTAACTGACCTTTGTGGATGTAAACATCTATCCTACTATTAGCCCCAACCAGTAACGGTGTCACTGACAATATCGTGGCGCTCAGAGCCAGAGAGCGCCGGCCTCCTTGAGCAGCGGCACGAGGGAGCCGTTGATGTGCGCGGCCATCACGCGGTCCATGGCGCCGACCAGCTTGCCGCCGATGAATACGACGGGAACGACCGGTGCGGCTCCTCCGGGGACGGCGCAGCCGAGGAGGTCGGCGAGGGCGCGCTCCAGTTCGAGGCCGCGCGGGTCGAGGTCCAGCTCGTGCACGGTGGGGTGCACGCCCATGCCGCAGAAGAGGTGCTTCACGGCGTGGCACATGCAGCAGCTGCTCACGCTGAACACCACCACGGCGCTCTCCGACGCCAGGCGCTCCACCCGCTCCGCCGCCGTTTCTGCCGCCAAGGTGACCGGCATCGCCGGCATGTACCACGCCTGCTCGGCCGCCGCGCCGTACTGCATTGTTCGATACAGCTGCGAAATTAACTAGCTAATTAGGTGGCTAAACAACTGCTTATTAAGTAGCTAAGCGCGGGAGGTGGTTTGAGGGAGCTAGCGTGAGCTGTTTTAGTGCTGGCGAGCTACAAGTGAGAAGAGGCGCATGTATTTATAGAGCGGGGGCAGCGGCGTTTCGTTTTTTTCTTTTGGGGTCCAAGGGTGGTGCGTCTTCACGGAAAGGAGAAGGAATGCCTTTTTCTTTTCCAAGATGTACATGCAGGTTTTCGATACTAGACGATCTCAAGAGACGCATGCAACTTTAGACCCTGAAAACCTCTTTGATTGCGTGCTTGGCATACTTTCAGCATTTTGGTAGGCCTATATATTTTCATATACATCTTGATTGTTTCAGCAGCTCGAAGTTAAACAGTATATGTTCTGCTTAAAGAGGCCACAGCAATGCTAAAAAGTCAAGCCTATTTCACAAATTAGGATTTTTGCATCAAACTTCCTGCTATCTTGGTTAAGAAATACAGAATGAATTGCAGTCAAACTTGTCGGTGTTGACTACTAATTTATTAAATATTGTCACTATTAATCAAAATACTATATTTGCATTTGTTCTATATTTTCATAATACATGTATTTATACTGTACACCATATTGACATGAAGTGTAACAGTGAAAGTGGCACCCTAGAAATATGGTACTAATAAAACTACGTGATGTCCTTTTCTTTAGGGAAAACTACGTCATGTTTTGTTTTGAACATAAAGGTAAAATATTTTTTGCGCATGTTGAAAGGGCAGCGGACTGGAAATAAGCTTAATAGTTTCTCAAAAAAACCAAAAATAAGCTTAATAAGTTGACAGTTGAGTGATTATATTCCTAGGCATCACGATGACTATTGAAAATGTTGATTTTACATCTAATGCGGCTAGCGATGGAGGCGATCATTCACTTCACGCGACGCTTAGACCTCGTACTCCAAGTTAGAATAGCTGGCTCATTTTGCTGGCCTACGTGACTTCGCACATTCGTTTTAGATTGATCTGTAATCGCTTGGTACTGACCTTGTTTGAAAGACTCGGTTAGTGTGTGTGCGTGGTTGCATCCTTGTTGAATTGGCTGGGTTTTATTTATAAAGTTGGTGGCGTCGATAGCAGAGAGGCCTGGTAAAGTCGATGCGTCAGTATCTGATCTGAGGATGGATCGATGGATGAAGGAGGTGACGGTCCTTGAAGCGTGCGCATGTGGTGCCCAATGAAAATGCGTCGGACCAGTGTGTAATCCAGTCTAGGTTTTGTGGCTTGGATGGCGCATCCGGCATTAGATGTTAGGTGTTGGTGTGATGTCCCTTTGGTATTAGGTACGGATATTCGGCACCCCTTCATCATGGGATAGGAGTAGCGACAGATGTTGCCAAAGATGGTGGCTTCAGGCTTACTGATGTATTATCTTGTAAGGGCTTTGTGAATAATTCATAAAATGGCTGCATGCATCACCCAAAAGCCGAGGCAGGGGTATATCCTCCTTTTCAAAAAAAAATGAACCATCCATGCACAAAACGTATTTTAAACCACGATAACTTCAGCCTTTGCATCAATTGGGGCACATAACCAACCACATGATACATGTGGTAAGAAATCCAAAAAATTCAAAAAAAAAAATTCGGGGCACATCATCATATATAATGATTAAAGACAAATTTTGATGGAGATGCCAAATAAATAAATAAAAGGATTACAATACAAGGCGATCCAGAATGGATCTACCCATTGTCCGCCCACACCACCGGAGAAAATGTTGCAAGCTATTGC